CTTTGAATTGCCGTTTTTATTCGAAATTGGATGCACTTATATATACTTTTAGCCTAGTCAAACACTTAACAACCTTTTCTAGACCAATCGAGCCTTAATAGACCTTAGGGTTCAAATTCTTTTCGAAACCCCCTTCACTTGTTACAATCCTAAAAAAGGATTTTGTTTTTTCCGTGACATGTTTATGTGAAGAACTCGCAAATATTCAAAATTGCCTAATATGTAGCAAAGGCAAAATGGATGCTTTAGTTAGTATATTGGACACATAGATTGTCATGCCCCTGATTTTTAAAGATCAATTAGGCGGAAACAATTTAACTTGGTGACAAAGCCTTGGGTCTTGGGGTGTACTCTCTCTAAGGTTCAGGGATCGAAAACTTCTTAGGTTGCTAACAATTCCTTGGGGCCATCGGACTGGGGAAAAACCCTTGAATTAACCATTGGTGCAATTTGTGGAAACTCCTTGCCGAGGACTTTACACTCCGGGACATTAGTTGGGTTTTGATCTAGACAACCTCCGTGCCAATAAAAAAAAAAAAAAAAACCTAAGCATAGGTTTAATTAAAAACTCCCTTTATTACTTAGTTCATTCTCAAAATCCCTTTCCATAGCCAATTCTCATTCAATTATGAAATTTAGGTTTGTCTCGTAAAATGTTCCAATGGCCCTTAAATGTATGAGGCTTGAAAAATGTCATTTTTCCTTTTATAAGAGCCTAACTGAACTTAGGTTGACAAAACAAGTGTTTTGGATAAATATTCAGCTATGTATTAGGAAGTATCTCTCTCTTAAAATATGCTCTTCAAGCACTTGAACCCGCTTGGATCACGTCGAACAATGACACGAAATGCAGATAAATTAAGAGATAAAATTAAAAACAAAATGTCATTCAAAACGAGTAAAAGGACTTCTCATCAAACTATTTTACAAAGGGTGGATCTCTCACCAATAAAAAATATACACTAAACCTAATGTCTTATATTTTTCTTAGATTGGATTTATTGCCAATTTACTATTTTATTTATTATTCATTTAGAATGATCTTCAATAAAAAAAAATTTCCTAGAGTTCAATAGGAAAAATATGCACCATGTAATTATCTACACGGTAATTAAACTTAAGGAAAAATGTAACCACACCACCGAACCCAATTATAGTTTCCCTCCTCCAATGAATATCACCTGTTGGGAATCTCTCTAATGCATTTTATTTGAAAGGCCAAATTTTATTTTGATCCATATGCGGATTACACTTTTCTTATTTGAAAATAATGATATAGTCCTTTTGTAATTTATAAACAGAAATACACTATTAGGTCAATTAAAAATTTAATAAAAAAGACAAAAATATTCTTATATATAAGTAATCTAAGTATCTGAACTATGAATATTTTTGTTATTTGCTTCGGAAGCAAAATACACTTTAACCCCTTATCCTTTATTCCATATGCTCCTTAAATTTTGAAAATGAGTATATAATTTCTTTATATTTGGCATATGTTTCACATTTACTGTTAAATATATTTAACGGTTCATTTTAGTTCACAAATCATAAAGGGTTATGTGGTTATTTTCAAATGAGATGAGTAATTTGTACGTAGACAAAAAGATAAGAGAATAAAGTGAAATCTATCATATTTAAAAATAGTTATAGTTGTATATTATTCTATAATTTCTATAGTGCAATTATGTGCAAGGTAATTAATTTTTTTTTTCTCTCATGCATTTTTTTTTTCTTTTTTCTCAATTAAATTTAGATACGACAAAGTAGAAAATTGAACCTCACTGTCCATTCGTAATAGAAAGCTTGGAGTAGAAAACCAAGGAGAACAACCGTTTAAACTCTATGAAAAACAAGAGTTGAGAAGCTTCCATGCTTGACCTAGGATTGATCTATCAATGAAATGCAAGATAAAATCAAGCACAAATGAAAAATCCAAAAATAAAGATTTAAAACTTAATAGCAAGTACATCCCTTCTCTAGTCTCTCTCCACCATTGCCATCACATCTCCCCTAAAAAACCACCCCTGTTGCTGCCTTCTCTCCCCTAAACCAACCCTGCCTCAAGGAGATGGAAGGCCAATTAATTTGCATTTTCGACTTTTTCTTGTTAACTTTAATGAAGTTAATATTGCAATTTCGCTCTAGTTTATAGGGAAAATCTCTACTTATATTTGAATAATAAAAGGGTAAACTGTTCAAGCCTTTAACCATTAGGGGGGGACATTGGCTCATTGGTCTGCTCAACTCGCTCGGCTCAGCCATATTTTTCTAGGGCTTAAGAAGGTTGTTTTAAGCCATGAGGCCAAGCTGTACCGACATTTTCAGCCCCAAATATCAATGGGTTAGGCTTGGGATTAATTAATTAATTATTTATAATACATTAAAATATATATATTTTTGTTAGGATCTAGACTTTATTTTTGTTGATTTTATTGAAACTCACATTTATGGTGATGTGTGATTGAATTTATTTAAAAAATCCTTCAATTTATAATGATGTCAATATATTTATTTAAGAAATATAATTTGTGATTGAATTTGCTTATGAAATGATTTAACTTTTTTTTTTAACATATAGCCCGATGGGTGAGTTCAGGATTTAAAATTATTTTTTGGACCGGGTTCGGACAGATCATAAAGGTCCGATGTTAGAACTGGGTCAGACTTGAACAAATACAAAATCTCTTTTATGTTGTGTCGTTCTGGCCCGAAACCGGCCCGGCCCTATGTTTGTCTACCCCTATTAACCACAAGGGAATAAAATTAATTTTATCCTAATTTTATGTTTACCATACTAAATTTCAACAATAATAAAATATAGGGTTAATTACACTTTTCACCCTAGTAGTTTGATTCAAATTTCACTTTAGTTCTTATAGTTTGCAAGCTTCACTTTACCCCCTGTAGTTTGGGTTGTGTGCGGTTTACCTCTAACGTTTGGAAATGACCACATAACTCTCACGTGGTTTGTGGACTGAAGTGCATCGTTAAACACTGTTAAACATTTCATCCAACTTAATAACAAGTGTGAAACATATAACATAACGGGGTTATATATTCATTTTCAAATTTCAAAGGGGGCAAATTGCTTGCTCATTTTCAAATTTCAAGGGAGTAAATTGCACATAAAATAAACATATTTCAAGGGGATAAATTGCACACAAAATAAGCACAAGGGGTTAGAGTACACTTTATCTTCCAAACAAATGTCGAAAATACAAGGCTATTTTAGTTTTTTTATTAAATCGTTAACGGTCCTAATGGTGCACTTTAGTCCACAAATCACAAGAGGATTATGTTGTCATTTCCAAATGTTAGGGGGCAAGCCGCATATAGTCCAAATATCACAAGGGGGTAAAGTGAAGTTTGCCCTAGTTTCAATTTGAACAATTTGATCTCTACACTTTAAGTCTAGTTTTAATTTGGTTATTCCGTCTAAATTTTTGATAATTTTGTCCACATGTACAACTTAGAAATCTGATAAATGTTCCAAAATTATTACTTTCAACATTCAATTTAAACGGAAGAACCAAATTGAAACCTTAAAAAATTGACAAATGTTTCAAAATTGTTAATTTTAATCTTCAATTTATACGAAATGACCAAATTAAAACTAAACTTAAAATGGAAGAACTAAATTATTTAAATTAAAACTGTACGGATTAAAATAAAATTTAAATCAAATTACAAGAGTGAAAAATGTAATAAATCCTAAAATATATAATACACTGCTGAAGTTGCCTTTCAAATTACAACGAGTCATATCTAAAAAAAAAAAATTACAATAATAAGTCATAATTAACCCAACAATAGGTCATAATCAAATAACACAAATGTCATTATTAGAATTGCATATGATATACCATATAATTTTCCTACTAATAAACATTATCCATTTAGGTGGATTGTCAAAAAAATATAAAAAAAGGGGGTTAATTGGTGATAAATCCAATATAAGGAGGGTATAAAGCATTAGATCTGAGAGAGATTTTTTGTTGATGAGAGGTCCACACTTTGTGTAATCGTTTGGTGGAGAACATGTTGTTTCAAATTTTACCCTTTGACTTTTTTTATCTGTTTGACTTTTCGTTGACTATTTGTTGAATTTTTTTATCTATTAAAATTCTTATCTGTTCAAATTTTCTATTTGTTCAAACATTTTATCATCACCAAAGAAATCTTTCACTTTCAAGGAGAGAGAGAGAGAGGTAAATTTATCTACATCAAAATAGTGGTAGAAAGAATCATGAAACACTATTATCACCTCGGTTCAATTACAGAGTTAGAAAACAAAATATAAAAAATCAATGAATCTCAGGAGTTTTAAGGCTCCAAGCAACTACCATTAAGCACTAAAAATGAGTGATTTATCATATAGGGGTGTATTGAGAGCTTTATAAAATAATGCATAAATTACAAGTTTATCAATTTTATCTATTGCTTACTGATTATTCACATACACAAACAACTATTCAACAAATCAGGTATATATAAACATATATAGCACTAAGGTATATTAGATCTATAGACATATTTTTCTATATTTATTGGTGGTGGCGGCCGTGGTGATGGCAGTGTGGTGGTGGAGGTGAGACTGGCGGTGGTAGTGTAGTGATATTAATAAGACTTTAGTCTGAAAAATATTTGCTATCTTTTAAAAGGGAAACATTTCATGCCCAAATAAGCTTGTTTTTTGTTGATCATGAAGAATATTTTTCATTGACTTTTGTTTTTCATTATATCAATTGCCAGTAATTACGGACCAAGCAAAAGACTCGAACCCAAAATCTTCAATATGAGAAACATCTGTACTACTTGAGCAGCACATAACAATTATTTTTAAATCGAAATTAAAATTTATATTTTACAGATTTGATAGCACACTCATTGATAGATACACACACCCACTAATATATATATATATATATGTATATACGTATACATTCTAGCCTTTGATACCGCATCTTCAACTTCCTAGCACTACGTAATACATCAGCTTAACCACAATTCGTCATGCCTCCAAAAGCTGCACCGCCAATATCAGATTGAAATGCATCGTAGCTACAATGCACAAATCAAAGATAGCTATAGTTACTGAATTCCGTGAACATGCTGGATTTGATATGCATGTCACCCAAATATATTTTGAAAACCATATATGCTTATTAGATAGCTTCAATTAATGTATGAAAACGATGAAAAAAAAAAATGAAAACAATGAAAACACTTCTGGTGTATCTCAATTTTAATGGGGAAGGATTTTCTTCCATCCACTATTTTACTAGAGGGGTGTTTGTTGGGGTTTAGAGAGCCACCACATGTCTTATTTTGATATATAATTTTAAAAAAATAGATTTATTCGATAATCATAATTATATGTTTTCATTACATTTGTTTAAAGAAAATGAATAATAGGTATAATTTTGAAATTATCCATTCATTTTTTTAATGACCAATATGAAAAAAAATTTATGGATAAAAATATGGCATCAATCTAAACTTTATCGTGCATGATCTAGACAAAAAAATCAAACAAATTATACGATTCAAATCGTCGAAATGAGATTTATAATGTATCTGACAAACCAATTATCACACTTGTATTTCAACAGTAATTAGATAGAACTCCTTCCCATATTAATAATAGAAAGTAAAAACATGAAAGATGGTTTGTTTTCCTCAAATTTTAAGAGAGGTCTATACAATTACTCTAAACTGTATAACCAAACACATATTTGTTTTATTCATTATTTGAGAAGAGGGGTAGAGGGGAATATAGGTGTTTGGTTGTAGCGTGTGAGCTATCTAATATTGTTTAATATAGTGTGAATAAGAAAATAGGGGTTTAGTTGTACTATTTAAATATTCTAAATTCTTAAATTACTATTTTTACACATTAGATTAAATTTTCACTATTATTGATTTGCAGAGATTGCCTTGAATTAGACTATATGAACTGAAATAAGAAACAATAGGGACCAAATAGATGCATCTATTAATTTAGGAATGAAGTAAAAAATGTGACTATAGTCTAGGGTATAACAAAATATGACAATTTTAAAAAATTCCGTTAAATACAACAAAAAAAAGAAAATATATTGAATTTTTATATATATTTTTTATTATTTGGTGAATTTTTTAATTTTTTATTTTCTCAAATATTACTCTTTTTAAGTGTATATAGATTAGGTGTATATAAAAAATAAAAAAATTTCGTAAAATATTAAAAAAATCACTAAAATAGAAGAAAAAAAAAAACTCAAATTTCTAAAAAATAAATTAAACCAAACAAGGTAAATATAATTTTTTCATCCATATAACTATCGAATATTGATGCAAATAAGCTAAGTATAACACCCACGGTAATTAGGAGAGGTTGGTGTAAATTTCCCTAGCCAAGCACTCATTCTTTTATTCATTATTTGAAGTACAGAGAAATATGGGTGCTTGGTTGTAGAGGGTAAGTTGTCTAAAATTGGGTTAGTAAGAAAATAGATGTTTAGTTATACAATTTAATTTGTCTAAATTGTGAAAAAAAAATTTAACCATTAGATTAGATTTTTCTCATTAATGATTTGGACAGATTGTCTCCAATATGAACTAAAATCATAAACAGTAAAGACTAGACATATGCAATTAATAATTTAAGAATGAAGTAGAAAAAGTGACTATATTTCAGAGTATAAAAGTAAATTTAAAAAAAGACTACTAAAATAGTGTCCAAGTCTTGTACCACTTTCAATTGCAGCCATTAGAGTCAATAGCAAACCTTTATTTTCACTACTCATTTATTACTTCCATGATTTTATTTTTTTTATTTTTTGCAAGATGATTTCCAATCAAGTGCTTTGTATAAACATCAAAGGAAATAAAATAGTTTTATTTTGTATGATACAAATAAAGTGCTAAGATACTGAAAACAGACTAGATAGCAACCATAACCAAGCTATAGTTTTTCATGATCAAGCAAAAGAATGCAGAAATTGATTGTAAATACTTACCAAAGGACACCACTTGCATTGGCTAATTTCACCTTGCTCTGTTCCTGTGAGAGTGCTTTTTAAATCTCTTTCCGCTTTTGTTTCGTTCACCTTCAATGATCCTCACAAGCCATTGAGGTTTTCCTCTAGAGAACATAAAATATCCCATAACAAGTCCCCACACGAGCCCACATATATAACCTGGTAATATGACTTCCCAATTGAGTCCACTTGAAGTATTGTCTTCTTGTTGAAACATCAAGGGTGGTGGTTGTGGTGTCCTTGGATTGCATGCATTTAACAATGGAGGTCCACATAATGCCAAGTTGTCAATGTAGGAATCAATTGAAAATGTATCAAATTGGTTGCCTTGTGGTATCGGTCCTATTAGTTGATTCTGCGAAAGGTTTAAGACTTCAAGGGATTTCAAATTCCTTAGTTGTTGAGGGATCTCCCCAGTGAGTTTGTTGGAAGAGAGGTCTAACCATTCGAGCATTGTCAAATTAGCAAGAGATGCTGGTATATGACCTGAAAGGTTATTGTGAGACAAGTTGAGCCCTCGGATTGAATTTAGCTTTCCAATGATCTGTGGAATTTCACCTTTGAAATTGTTTTTCGATAAATCAATTGCAGTGAAAATGGTTAGGACTTTTACCATTTCTATGATTGATCCTTTGATTATTATAGTCAAACAATCATTATAGTAATATGTTGCAATTGAATGACTGGGCGTCCCTAAGTATTGCAATTCAAAACTAGCTTCGTCGACATTCATCATAGCATTGAGATTCTTGAAATATTTTCTTGGCAATGGACCAGTAAAATAATTGTTTGATAAATCCATAACTCGCAAGTTGGGGAAGGGAAATTTGAACTTGGAATTCGGTATAGGTCCATGGAATTTGTTAGATCTCAAAATTAAAACTTGTAGCGAAGTTAAATTTCCCAACCAATATGGAAATTTATCGGAGAACTTGTTATGTCCAAGGTCTAGCACTTGTAGCATTTTGCAATTCTCTAAAGATTTTGGTACTGGCCCCTCAAATCCATTGCTATCAAGGTTGATAGTTTCGAAGGAATTTTCCTTCGCAAATGTATCAGGAATAATGCCAGAAAAATTATTCTTCTGCAGATCGAGTATAGAGAAATATATGCTGAAATTTCCTAAACATTGTGGAATAGAACCATTAAAGCTATTACTAGATAGGACAAGAATTTGAAGGGAAATTGCATGACAGCATGTCTAGCTCTCCACTGAAGTTATTTGATGAAAGAATGAGATTAGAAAGGTTCACGAGTTTGAAGGTTGAACTTGGAAACCTACCATATAGGTTGTTATTGCTCAAATCAACAGTAGTTAAATGAGTGGATTTGAACTCTTTTACATGGCCAGTCAATTTGTTATCACTGAGGTTGAAGTACCCCAATGTTGGTAAGCTGAAGACCCAAGATGGAATTGTACCGTGTTAAAGAAGTCAGATTGAGCAAGGAATTCGAAACCACTGAAGATATGTTTACATGTGCAAGATTAAGTTCTCTTACCTTGGTTAAGTTTTGAACAAGTAATTCAAATCCAGGTTCTTCCAACCTCAAACCAAGATTGTAAGAGAGATCAAGCGAGACCAATTTGCTCAGAAAGGAGACTTCTATAGGGACTTTGCCAGAAAAACTAGAGTCAGAGAGGTTGAGGTGTGTCAATCTGGTGAATCGACTAAATTCAGATGAGATTCGAGACATGCCAAAGTCATTGAAAGCAAGGTTGAGGCTTTGGAGGTGAGGAAAGTAGTAGAAGATGGTGCTATTGGGGTGGATGGTGCCTAGGAGCCAGCTGCAACTGAGGTCGAGGCCAGTTACTTGACTTGTGTTGTTGTCACACTCGACCCCATCCCATGAGCAACAATCAGAACCCTCCTTCCACGACTCCATCTTCGGGTAAGAAAGGATTCCGACAGAATCACAGTAACCGTAGGAAGCATCATTATTGAAGGAAAATTGTTGCTTAAATTGGAGCAATGCAGAGGTCTGTTGTTGAGTGCAGAGTTGGGCATGCAAACAAGTAATCTGGAAAAAACAAAGAAACAAAAAGAGGTGAAAGAGTTGATTGTTAGAGACCATCTTTGCTCCTAGATTCAAAAACAAAGGTTGTAATGCTTGCTGACTATTAACAGGGGAGACGCCAAATGCTTTATAGGCAAATGTAGGTGCAATGCAAAGCCTACAAACAAGTAAAGTGACTTTGACTAAGTCAGTCTTCATTGATGTCTACAGAAGCTGGACCCCATGACGTGTTTTTCACTCATCAAGGAAGACTTGACTTCATAAATGTTGATCATAATCAACCGCTTAAAATGCTATACGAAATAAAGTTTGACACATCTACGGTGTATGTACTTAAAAAGACAATACATCACAACATAGTATACATAACATAATTATAATGTTTTGTAATCAACACTGCAACATGTTGTAATTTTTATCACCATAACATTTCTTACCACAAATAATTTGTAACATTTACACTATACCGTTCATAACATAATCATAATAATATGTAATTTTGACTTTCAGATGTACACCATAAATTTGTTCATTTATAATTTTTAGACAAAATGACATAAGACACTCACCACAAATTATGTGACTTTTACCGTAGAAAATCGTAATTTTGTTCATCTTGGATGCTTTAATTAGTCAAAATTTTTTAAAATTGATGTGATAATTGAAGCTACATCAATTCCCCCGCCCCCCACTAATGGTGTGTTTGGTTGGGGGATTTGGGGAGGGATTTGGAAAGGGAAAGGGAAAAGGCGTGTGAAACTATGTGAAATATAGGCATGATTTATTCACATTTCACCTACCTTTTCCATTTCCCTTTCCAAATCCCTCTCCAAATCCCCCAACCAAACACAACATAAAGGAACATTTAGGAGTTGATTATGAGACAGCATAGTTGATTAGATCCCATATTTGGAAAAGTTATTTGGTACTTCATGGGTGTCGCATGTCTATACTCCCCATTAATCATCATACATCATATCTCTTGCTATTTCTCAATTACTCAATACAAAATCATAAATTCCACCCTTTTTCTCTACACAAAATTTAAAAAACACCACATCGCCATGCCAGTTCCACCAAATAACTTCTCTCATATTTGCAATGCGAAGCCTACAAAACTAAGCTAGTCTTCACTCATGTGAATAGAGCCCCTATAGCGTGTTTCCCACGTCAAGGAGGACTTTGACTCCATAAATGTTGATCATAGTCGATTTCTTAAATGCAATAGTGGGTGTTTGAGGTTTGTTTATTTGGTGACTATGTTTTTGGTTTATTTTCATTTTTATTGAAAATTTAAAAAATTTTAAGTTTCTAAATTTAACTTGATAAGACAAACCACAAAATTTTAAAATAATTTTAAAAAGTCTAGAAAAGACAAAAAAAAGCTTTAAAAAAAAAAAGACTTTTTGGCTTAGTTTTTTCATTATTTTGATTTTTTTTTAAAAATTATTTTTTAGAATCGTCTATGCAAGATGGCTTGAAAAATAAAAAAAACTTTTGACATAATTTTAAAAAAAAAAAAAAAAAAAAGATGAATTACACTAACGGTCCTTGTAGTTAGGGCTTGTGTCACTTTGATCATTGATCTTTTAATTGTGATACATTTGATCTTGAATTTTGAATCTCGTTCCAAATAAGGACAATTGAAGACATTTTTACACCATTTCAAGAAAAAATCGTCAATTTGATAAAATATAAACTAGTTTAACAAAAATAAATGTCAAAAATTATTTTTAAATTTTCAAAAATTATTTCTACCCACCAAAGATAAAATTATATAAAAATAATAAATCTTTAACATTTTATTTATTTTATTTTATTTATCAAATTATTTTTTAATATGCGTTTGGATGATGATCATGTAATGCGTGGTTTATTTTATTGATATTTTTTTATGGTTATCATGTAATAGATAGTTGTATTTGTTGTTAATAGATATTTTTGGATGGTTATCATGTAATGGATGGTTATTAGATTTTTGATGTATAATCGATATGTTTAATATATGAAATGTTTTTGATTTTAGATTTTTTTATTCAATGCATTGGTTTAATAATGACGTCAAAGTTGTCGCTATATTTGATTTTTTAAAAAATAAAACTAATTTAATGAAAATAAATATCAAAAAAAAATTATTTTAAAAAATTATTTCTACTCTCCCAAAAGATAAAATTATATGAAAATGATGTGTTTTTAATTTTTTTTTCAACAATTTAATTTTTAGTTTCTTAGAAATTTTTTCTAAAAATAGATTTTGAAAACCAAACTAAACAGAACTTTATAACCAAAAAAGTTCCAACATTATTTATTAAAAAATTGACATTATATTTCAAACAATATATAAGTTAACCAATACAAAATAAGTTGTATGACGACTTTATCCTTCAAATTGAGCAACAATGTCTTCAATTGTCCTTATTTGGAATGAGATTTAAAATTCATGATCAAATGTATCACAATTGAAAAGTCAGAGGCCAAAATAACACAAGCCCCAAATTATAAAGATTGTTAGTGTAATTTGCCCAAAAAGTTATTAAAGACAAAAAAAAAATGGAAAACAATTTGAGGCTTTTTTATGACAACCACATCCTTAAAAAAACATACACCAAGACCTAAAAAATTTTATAATACACACTCATTTTTTGGTATGTAACTCATGTCTAGTTATACCTTTTGTGATTTTTTATTTTGATCAGTTGTAGTGTTGGTTATAACGTAGTTATAACATATTGTGGTGTTAGTCTCTTGTGTTTTTTTATTTTTATTTTTATTTTTATTTTTAAAGAGTTTTTTTTTTTTTTTTTTGGGTTATGCCTCAAGTGATTTTGATTATAATCTTTGGTTATAACTCGTTGTGATGTTAATTATGACTTATTATGGTTATTATTTTGGTTACAATCAAAGATGTGTTTTCCTATACCTCAAGTAGTGTTTGGTTATGACTTATTATTATTTTTAATTATGACTTAAAATGATTTTGTTATTACATTTGTGACGTAGAATAACCCCAAGGGAAATTCTATAGTACACACTCATATGTATCTTGTTACGAATTTTTGTGATGTATGTTATGTAATTTTTGTGGTAAATATAATGTAATTTTTTAGTAGAGTTACAATAATCTGTTATTCAAAAATGATGTTATGTATTTTATGTTAATGTTACTGGTAATGCTACACATTTTTTTAATCTAAGCATTTTTTAACAAACAAATATGTAACATTATCACGAAATTCGTAATATTATTTATGAACTACAAATTGTAGTAACTCTACTGAAAAATTACGTAACATGACCATAAAAATATATAACATACATAACAAAAATATGTAACAATAATACGTGTACTGTATAAAGCATGCATTAAGTGAGCGATGATTGGTAAAAGACAAGCTCGAGCACAAAAATACTCTCTAGCCCACTTTTTACATATGCTGCTTGCTGCCCTCCTCCCGTCTGCGGGCAAACTAGAGACTTGTGGCCTAACTGGCCATGTTTGAAGCAAGTGATGTCTCCCTAACCACCTCTCCCAGAACCTGAACTTGGCATTGGAAAAATAGACCTCGAGTGCGCTCCCTAGGATTGTTGGGGATTTGAACCCCTCTGCCTCTTACTGCCCCCTGGCCATCTTGACTCCTCCTGGAGCCCCTCATTCTCTCTTCCTCCCCATGCATGATAGTCTCAAGATGGACTGCAGCCTCCACAAGGCGCCCATACTCCCTAATCATAGACCCGGCCACTCGAAACATGAGTCCGGTCCTCAATTTTTTCTCGAACTCCAGACATCAATGCTCCTCGGTTGCCACTAACTCTGGTGCAAACCTCGATAAGCTAGTGAAAGTGGCTTCAAACTCAGCCACCGGCGTGTTCAACTGTTTGAGCTGAGAAAACTGATCCCTTAACTTCTCCCTTACCGTAACAGGTAAATACTTGTCCTGGAAAGCATAAACAAAAGCCTCCCAAGTCCTTCCAATGTGCCCACGCGCATACTTCCACCACTGACCCTCGTCTCCCTTCAACTGGAAGGATGCCAAGGTCACCCTCAAACCTCCATCTTCAATGCCGAGCATCTCAAACGTCTTCACCATCTGTTCCAACCACTCATCAGCCTTCAATGGCTCCTTAGGATCTCCCAAAAACTCATCCGGATTGGACTGGAAGAACTCCCTCTTCAGAAAAGACGACCCTGCTTCAGCTACTTGGGCCTGGACTTGATTCTCAGCACGGAGAATGTCCATGGATTCCCTCAATGCTCCTACCATTTCACAGGCTAAGGCGTCTATGGCCTGTTGACCTACTGGCTCAGCCACATTGGCCTGATCCACTCCCACTTCCTGCGCCAGAATCTCATCCGGTATAGGCATCTCATGCTTTCTAGGCCTACCACGCCTACCACCACGACCTTGTCCCGACATCCTAATAAAGGTAACAAAAAGATTAGCACATTTACAAATGCATCGAAACTATGTCACTCGCGTCCTAATACGATGGACAACTGTAATTCACTCCATGTAAGCACATAATCACATAAACACATACGAATTTCATTTTCGGATAATAACCGTCCCGTGGTGTTGCTAGAGTTCTAGTTAGAAAAGACAGTGATCAAGTGCCTTTCTAACAGGACTCCTAGAAATCCATAGACCCGATTAACATCCTAGAAACTAAATCCCATACCCATATAGTCACATACACATGTTATCATATAAACACCTATTATCCATACCCAAGTCTCTAACAAGCGAGACGAACCCATTGTGGTACTGACCACTTCCACGTACCCAAAGTATTCAAACCCAACACACTCTGATACCAAGTTATAACGCCCTCAAAATATGTTATAAATCAACCCAAGAGATTCATAAACATAATATGAAATGTATTACTTTCATTCATCAGAGTTCATATTACGAAGGAGATATTACATGCATTACACTTTCATGAATATTCATTATGAAACTACAGCATGTAACACTAATTAATTACAACAAAATATACGTTCT